GAGTGAATGATTGGGTAGGTGAGTAGGCTAGCGAGTTGGTGAGTAAATGAATGATTGGGTAGATGAGTAGGTAAACTAGTTGGTGAGTAAATGAATGATTGGGTAGGTGAGTAGGTAAGCGATTTGGTGAGTAGGTGACTGATTGGGTAGATGAGTAGGTAAACTAGTTGGTGAGTAAATGAATGATTGGGTAGGTGAGTAGGTAAGCGATTTGGTGAGTAAATGAATGATTGGGTAGGTGAGTAGGTTAGCGAGTTGGTGAGTAAATGAATGATTGGGTAGGTGAGTAAGTGAGGTAGTAGGCGAATTATAATTGGGTAGGCGAGTAGGTGAATGATTGAATATGCGAATAGGCAAGTGTGCAGTTGAGTTAGTAGGGAAATTATTGGGTAGGTGAATTGACTAGGTAGGTGAGTAGGTAAGTGACTAGGTGAGGTAGTAGGTGAGTAGTAGGGTGCCACTCAATACACATCGAGTCAGAGTATTAGGGACAGACGATGCGGAGATGATCGGAGATGATCGGAGAGCCCTGCGAATACGAACAGAGGAGTGTGAGATTCTCAGATGTTGATTTATACACCACAAGTCACACATTGAGACAAGAGATTGTGAGCCCAGAAAGCGGATAGTGGCACCCGAATATATTTCCTATAGACACACACACACAGGTCAAAACAACGAGCATGAAACTAGATAGGTTAGCGAGTGCTATGCATATAGGACGTGTGTATTTGTATAATGTTTACACATACAGAGTAACTGTACACACATTAGAAACGTGTGGCACTTTATCAAACCACTGTAGAGAGGGCTTCTTCATGCCATTGTGGGGCCAATGGGGTTATTTTACCACACTTGGTGAACGTGGACTGAAGGCTCGTATTGTATACAGAGACAATATACACAAACACAGAGAGTTACAGACGCACACAACAAGAACACACACACATACACAGTACGAAGGTACATAACCATGCGGTGGTGCGTCGTACGTACCACAATACAGAGGACATTTCACAATCCATTGCCTGCGATGAATGACCTCTCAAAATGAAAACATTCAATCGTGGAATTGGTCAAACATTCCATCCATGTAGGGGACCCCTTGCGACTCGCACATTACTCCCGTTAATCGAGTCAACGTGGCAAGTCTTTGGGAAGGCTTTGTCCCACCGACACAAAGAAGATTGATGCGACGCATATGTACAAACATTTTTAAATTAAGTGAACACACGTTAAGCGATATTGGTGACTCGTAAACAAACGAACGGAAATGCGACAAAGCACATCGGCGCATAAACAAAGACGTCGCTGCTGTTCTTGGGACATGTTGAGTTTGGCATTAACGCGTGTACACACACTTCCGTGTTCATGTGCGGGGAAACGGTGCCCCGTAAATGGTACGAATCCGGGGAAAACTGAGTTCGATTCCCGCTCACGGCCAACATCAAGTGACGAATATCGTGAACCGGTCCAGGGCCCACCAACCTAAGTCGACTCAGACCCTTAAAACAAGTCTCCCCGGTGCTGCCGAGTGTCCAGACATCAGCATTCGGGAGACAAAGGCGGACAGCCCTTTGTGGTTTTTGACCACAGCATCCAAACACGTGGGTGCAGTCCCGGCCTTAATAGGTGCTCGCTAACAGCAGCCGTCTCAACGGCACTACGATATATGCATACACGGAGGCTTTGTGTGTGTGTGTGAATAATATCAAGTACGACTGCACATCTGCTTTAAAGGGAACACAACCTCCATCATTTACAACCTGCGCAACGCCATGTGAGTCACGGCACTCACTGTACACGTACAGTGACACACTGTACGTGAGCATATTCAATGAGTTCTTTGGTAACACAACTATAGAAACAAACACGCTATGCGTAGACTGCTGTACGGGCAACATTATCCAGAGCAGCCCCCCCCCCCCTCTCTTAATCGAGTCGCTTTGCATTGGGTTATGCTTTACGTTAGGGATGTTGGCCAAATGTGTTAACGTGACCCACGTGTTTCGCTTTTTGTGTGGAGGAAGGAGGAGGGGGGGGGTGGTGGAAGGAAAAAAACAAAAGAGATCCCGAAGAAAACCCACCACGCATGTGACGGGGGGGTAACACTCAAAGCTTCGCTCAGATGGATTCAAGAATCCATTGCTGAACTACCGTCGTCTGGCCACTTCGCAGCCCCCTAAATATGTAGAAAAAGGGACAAAGAAGCTTCGTTTAGCAGTGCACAGTTGCGTTGCAAGTGGGTGCCAGGAGTGGCTGTCCACTCCACAGCACTACACATGCAGTATACACGAACACATGTGTACTCTGCGTGTCACTGGGTACACGAGTGCAGCGTGCGCGTTACACATTGTCACACGTGCTTTTTTTACAGTGCGCACACGTGCCACATCCGTGTACATATAGCATGTTGTATATACAGTACACACATTAACAGACTATATAATAGCAGTACACACAACACCAGTAGCAGTACACACAACACCAGTAGCAGTACACACAACACCAGTAGCAGTACACACAACACAGCAGCAGTACACACAACACCAGCAGCAGTACACACAACACAGCAGCAGTACACACAACACAGTAACAGTACACACAACACAGTAGCAGTACACACAACACCAGTAGCAGTACACACAACACCAGCAACAGTACACACAATACAGTAGCAGTACACACAACACCAGCAACAGTACACACAATACAGTAGCAGTACACACAACACAGTAGCAGTACACACAACACAGTAGCAGTACACACAACACCAGTAGCAGTACACACAACACAGTAGCAGTACACACAACACCAGCAACAGTACACACAACACAGTAGCAGTACACACAACACCAGTAGCAGTACACACAACACAGCAGCAGTACACACAACACCAGCAACAGTACACACAATACAGTAGCAGTACACACAACACCAGCAACAGTACACACAACACAGCAGCAGTACACACAACACCGCAGCAGTACACACAACACGGCAGCAGTACACACAACACCAGTAGCAGTACACACAACACAGCAGCAGTACACACAACACCAGCAACAGTACACACAATACAGTAGCAGTACACACAACACCAGCAACAGTACACACAACACAGCAGCAGTACACACAACACCGCAGCAGTACACACAACACGGCAGCAGTACACACAACACAGCAGCAGTACACACAACACCAGCAACAGTACACACAACACCAGCAACAGTACACACAATACAGTAGCAGTACACACAACACCAGCAACAGTACACACAATACAGTAGCAGTACACACAACACCGCAGCAGTACACACAACACCGCAGCAGTACACACAACACCAGTAGCAGTACACACAACACCAGTAGCAGTACACACAACACCAGCAGCAGTACACACACCAGCAGCAGTACACACAACACCAGCAGCAGTACACACAACACCAGCAGCAGTACACACAACACCGCAGCAGTACACACAACACCAGTAGCAGTACACACAACACCAGCAGCAGTACACACAACACCGCAGCAGTACACACAACACCAGCAGCAGTACACACAACACCAGCAGCAGTACACACAACACCAGCAGCAGTACACACAACACCAGTAGCAGTACACACAACACCAGCAGCAGTACACACAACACCGCAGCAGTACACACAACACCAGCAGCAGTACACACAACACCAGCAGCAGTACACACAACACCAGCAGCAGTACACACAGCACAGTAGCAGTACACACAACACCAGCAGCAGTACACACAACACCGCAGCAGTACACACAACACCAGCAGCAGTACACACAACACCAGCAGCAGTACACACAACACCAGCAGCACACACAACACAGCAGCAGTACACACAACACAGCAGCAGTACACACAACACAAGCAGCAGTACACACAACACAGCAGCAGTACACACAACACAGCAGCAGTACACACAACCCAGCAGCAGTACACACAACCCAGCAGCAGTACACACAACACAGTAACGTAACATCGTGGCGCAAGATGATCGTCCTAACACGGTACAGAGACTACACACGGGCATGTGTGTCCACAGGTACTCGAGTTAAACACACAAGTACACACACTGGGAATGTGAGAGTACGCGTAGTACTGTAACACACACACAAAGCCTTGGTACAATTACAGCACTAGGAACCACACAGAGTGAACGACTGAGTCTTGGTAAAGTACTTGGGGGTTGACACACACACACCACACAGACTGAGTGACTTGCCAAGGGAGAGATCGAGTGAGTTCGTGACTTTATCAATGATTTCAGTCCGCCCAAGTCTAAAGCCACACAAAGTACATCAACAAAGCGAGTGAGCATATCACCAATCTGTTCTTTTGTGGATCGATGATCAATGATCGAGCCGAGTTCACGTACTCGAGAGGGTCACACGAAAGGCAACAGTACACACAGCCACACGGTTCACACACAAGCACAAAGTACAAGCACAAAGTACAAGCACAAAGTACAAACACTGGGTACGAGTGGTTCGATCAATTGCGAGTATCGAGAGGCGAGTGATCGGCGGATTAGTGAATGGTTGAGTAGGCGAGTGATTGGTGACTGTTTTGAGTCGAATCCATCGTACACGCTCACACAAAGCACACACAAGTACACGGATCTAAGTACACAGATCTAAGTAGTGGGACAAAGTCATTGTTATGCAAGTCCAAGTCGAGTCTGAAGTCATCAAATTCATGACTCGAGTCTGACTCGAGTCCAAGTCACATGACTCGAGTCCACACCTCTGCTAAGTACACAGATCTAAGTACACAGATCTAAGTACACAAATGATCATATCGTGAGTTGGTTTTAGCGAGCGGTTCGTTGATCGAGCGAGCGAATCGGTGGCTAAGTGAAGCGAGGTGCTTGATCGATCATTTCTAGTGCGATTAGTTAATCGATTTGAGTCTACGAAACGGGTGCTTTCAGTGGTGGTGGTGTGTGCGAGTGTGTGTGTGGACGTACTAGGGGTCGTTGGTGAACCTCGGGTTCCTTGGCGGCTGGAACCCGTGGAGGTGCGCGCTCAAAACGTCGAAACAGAAGCAGCACATCTCGGGAGACGCCACCGCCGCCGCTCCGCGTTGTCCACCAGCCGCTCCGTTCACCATCATCATCGTCCTCGAGCCGGTCCCAGACATCGCCTCCCGGCCTCCTCGTCCACCACCACCTCCTCCTCCCCCCAAGCCAACACTTAAGCCGCCTCCTCCTCCACCTCCTCTGTCTAGCCCGTCCACGTGGCCATTGTGTGAGCCGGCTCCGCTTGACGCCGCCGCCGCCGCTGCTGCTGCTGCTACAGCCGCCGATGATGATGATGACGAGGCTGGGGTCGATGATGATGATGTGGTAGAGGAGGCGGTAGCGGATGTGGACGAGGTGGACGAGGAGGAGGTGGTGGTGGAGGAGGTGGTGGAGGTGGTGGCCAAGCGTTGCTTTTTGACCCCGCAGCAACCCGCCGCCATGTTAGCGTCTGGTTCTGCGAGGCAGCGTCTCTTGCCCATGGTTCTCCAGGTCCTGTACACACACACACACACAGACACCCACACACACACAGACACCCACACACACACAGACACACACAGCCACACACACACAGACACGTGTGGAGGGAGCGCATGGGGCGGGCTTATAAAAGTTGATCTTCACCCCCCGTTGCCGTCGATGCCGCCACGGCCTCCTCCTCTCTCTCTTTTCTGAACAGATAGAAGTTTTAGCGGCGAGGTAAAAATATGGGGCGCAATAACTAAAGACGACGGATCGGTGGGTGTGTGTTGTTCCGGCGTGAAGCAAGAGGTTTGATGATTTATTAATTGTAAAATAGCGCGCTCTTCGCTGTTGTGTTATTAGTTGGCGGTTTGAGTGGTGGTGATTTAGGCTGTCGTGGTGCACGGTAGAATTTGTATTTTATATTCTTTAGATCTTTCGGTAAAGTCACGTAGAAACTTTTTAATGATGACGACCGCTTGGTGTTGCGATCGAAACGTCGTAGTTTTTTATTTTATTTGAACATATTGACGTGACTTTACCAAAAATACCCAAAGAATATTAATTATTGCAGTCACGAAAGCTTTGTCAGGATTTTATTTTTAGTTTGCAGCTGTGGTTTAACACGTCGCTTTGTTTAAAATATAAATCCGGCATTGTTTTTATGTACACTCGGGGTTATGTTACGACGTGTGTTTTTTTATTTTTGTTTAACGTGTTGCAAGATGTGCCGGGTTATGTAGCCAAAGTGCATTGCGCTAAGTTATTTGACTAAATAAATGTGTGTGGTCGATCGATTTTAATATCGCGTGGTTTAATAAAGATGAAAAGGGGGGGAGAGTAAGTGTGGAAGAGTTAAAAAAGTGTAGGATTGGGTTTAATCCAATGCAGTAATTTTGTTTAATGTAGTTTTGCTAACAAGTAATGTTTAAGGCGTTTAACGCATGCCCCACGCGTGGTGGGTTGTGGAACATTGAATAATTATCAGTAAGAAACTGTTTACAGCGTAACTAAATTAAATTAATCAGGGAAACGTTATGACACTAGTTTTTGCGATGTGACAAAAATGTGTAGTTTGATATAATACACAAATTGTTAAATTGCTTAACGGTACAGTGCGTGTACTGTAGTGTAATGCGTCTAAGTTGATTCTTGTTGTAACTTTCTACATTCTCATTCGTTTACTTACGATAGTATTACTTGACGTTACATAACGTGTACCACTTCACTCTTTCAATGTTGATTTATAACACGGTAAAATTAATTCTGACGTGTTTTGCGACGTGTAGATTTTATGAGCGAAATTAAATCTAAAAAAATAAATTGCACGAACGTCATAAAAGAACTTAAAGTAAAACCACTGCCAACATGACAGTAATTTAACAGTAGTATATTACTATACTATACTTCACAGTCCGATTACCACGGTACAAACACCTTGAATGATGATCTTAAGGTAAATATTAAAGCGCTGTGGAAACCGAGGAATTCATACTAACAATGTGAAGAATTTACTCAAATTACAGCGGCGTTCACCAACAGCACTGCGTCTGTAATGAAATGTATATCAATGCGAAACAAATAAGAGATTATTTAAGTAAATAACGTAATTTTATCGTATTTTAATTATAAAGCTGCCACGTGATTGGTCAACGTCTCGGCTTGCCCGCCCGCTGCGTTGTAAACGCCTGACAGGAGTTGAGGTTCACAAACGCCCTGGGGGCACACTCGCGACGGGACATGAGAACAACGCGCCACGTTAAAAGTGCCCCCAGGGCGATTGGTCTTTATAATTTGTCAATGTAGGAGGAGGGGAGGGGCCCCGGACGAGAACAGCTGACGAGCCACGCCGCCCACCCTCAAGGCGCTCAACATCAGCAGTGGCCACTCCACTGCTGGATGTGAGGCCTCACGTTACAGTGAATGTCTATTTTGAGGCCCTTCAGCAGTGGGCTGACAAAGGGGTGAGGGGGGTGGGTAGATTGTGTAATAATCATCAGCCGCGGTCAATACACCGCTGGATAAAGTCCTTTAGTCCGATGGTCTGTAGTGAATTATTGTCTTTTATGGCCTTCGTTCAGCGGTGGATTGACCACGGCGTACAGTCCGTCGTAATTCATTGCATATCGGAAGAAAAATATAAAAAAAAATGTTTCCTGCCTGGATTCCTGCCTGGCGCGCGGCCAAAAGTGCGCGTGCGCGGCAGTGACGTCACCGCGCAAGGTTTGCGCGATGACGTCACCGGCGTCCCGCCGCGTTGGGCTGGGCTCGTGCGTGATGACGTCACCGGCGTCCCACCGCGCTGGGCTCGTGCGTGATGACGTCACGCCCCCACCACCCCGGTCGTGAATCCGGCACAAAAAACAGACCGTACTATACTGTAGTACAGTATCGTACTGTATTTACAGTATCGTACTGTAGTACAGTATCGTACTGTGGTACAGTATTACGCTGTTGTACAGTATCACACTGTTGTACAGTATTACACTGCGGTACAGTATCGTGCTGTGGTACAGTATTGCACTGTTGTACAGTGTCGTGCTGTTGTACAGTATTGCACTGTTGTACAGTATTACACTGCGGTAAAGTATCGTGCTGTGGTACAGTATTGCACTGTAGTACAGTATCGTGCTGTGGTACAGTATTGCACTGTGGTACAGTATCGTGCTGTTGTACAGTATTGCACTGTTGTACAGTATTGCCGTTGTACAGTATCATACTGTAGCACAGTATTATATCGTGGTACAGTGGTGTAGTGCAGTAAAGTATTGTGCTCCACAGTAATAAAAATAACTTTTGCTAGCTGTAAGCACGGACAGGTCCAAAGGCATAAGAATCATCACCAGCCATGGTCAATGCACTGCTAGACTGTTTTACTAATTGTCTTGTTACCCAGGCGAGGGCAATTACCAAACCCTCTCCACGCGTGTTTATAAACCACGAGTTTCAGTAAATCTAGCTGTGACAGTCTCACCTGATGAAGGAGACTTGTGTTGCCTCCGAAACGTCGTGATTTATTATTTTATTTATATTATTATTTCTAGAAAATTTTAATATTTATTTTTATTATTTATTTTTCACCTACGTGACTTTACCGAAAAAAACCTAAGAGTATGAATCCTTAAAATCTAGAATTTAAAGCTTCAAATCTAGAATAAAAACCACGAGTTTCTATTGCCTATCCACCACCACCACCCACGGTGTTGTCAGTACCATGCCGCACCCACGTGGTCAGAGGCATTGCGCCCGCCACTGATGTTAGCCGTGAGTCTCAACTCGGGTGAACCGGGGTTATCAACACAGCGCGCTCACTACTGCGCCACCATTCCCGTGGCGATTCGAGGGCTGTATCGATCAGTATCGATACCGCGATTGTATCGCCCGGTCGACATGCAACCGGGCGATACAAATTCCAATCGATATTGTATCGATACTGAACGTCGATCTTGATGTAAAGCTTTTGTGACTGCAGGAATTGATATTCTTTCGGTAAAGTCACGTCGATGGCAACATTATCGATCACCTCCATGTCACGTGACGGCGTGACCCCTGCAGCCACTAGAGGTCGCTATAATCACCAAATGAAGCTGATTTTCTGAACAAATCTTGATCGATTAATCACATGGGGGCAATCGAGGCAACGCAACAATTAATACATACATAGTGTGATCTATCGATTTAAAGCTTTCGTGACTGCAGGGATTCATCTTCTTGGTTTATTCGGTAAAGTCACGTAGAATGGAAATAATAAAATAATAAAAATAATACGACGTTTCGGCCACAACGCAAGCAGCCGTCCTCAGGTGAAGAACAGGTCTGTCGAGGAGACAGAGTCTTCTGTTCTTCACCTGAGGACGGCTGCTTGCGTTGTGACCGAAACGTCGTGAGAATTATTTTATTATGTTTTATTTTTATTATTTTATTATTTCCATTCTACGTGACTTTACCGAAAGAACCAAGAAGATAGTGTGATCTAGTTTTGATTTCAACTAGAACCCATATCCTCCGGAGAGGGTCCTTGCCTATAACGTCTGTTCAGCTTTGGTACAAGCATGCCTGACTGCTGATGCGACACTTAATGTCGAAACCGGTCCAGAGTTTTGCTTGTGTTGAACCAATCAATACTTGCTGAAATGATTCACTCCGAGAATGCCGTGATGGGTATGTGTAAAAAATAAATGTTTTTATCGAGTAAGTGGAAGGACAGTTATGCGAACGAGACGTTTTGTCTGCTTATTTTTGTTACTACTACCCGTGTAAACAGTCATGAGCAATCCACTGACCGGATGAAGGCCTCTCCAATTGAGATCCTCTCAGGCAATAACTATGAACACTACATTGATTGCACAGCAAGGGAGAACGACTCGTTGATTAGATTTCCTCAATTAATCCACAAAATAATTATGTTCTTATACACATGTGTATTTGGTCTTATATAGCATAAGCCAACTGAGAGTGACATGCTAAAGTGAGCATTGAGACACTGGTACACATCTCCTGTTTCCAGCCCTGAGCCAGTGGTGGAAATTCCACATTCCTATGGCAGCGGCGACTGACTTCATGGGACAACAAATGTTGACGCCCCCGTGAAGTGGTGGTCATTTGTTTGACCCCCAAACGGATGATGGGGCCGAGTCAACCCCAAACCAAGATTTGAGTTCGTCACCTTCCGATTTGTGAGACCGCTCACTCCACCCTGAACCACCTGGACAGCTCCCCGGCTTGGAGAACAAAAAACATTGGTACTGTTCATATAGTCCGGTTATCTATAATTAAGTGAAGATTATACAGTCTAAAGCTATTTTTCCAACAACCTGAACCAATGCAAATCAAAGCAAATGTAAATCACTGCAAGTCAAATCTGATGTTATTTTACTAATGCGCGTTTACCCAGGAAAGCCTCAATACATTTTTAGGAGGGTGGTGCTATATTGGGATGTGTGGCCAAAACCATTCAAGAGCGTTTGGTTTCATGTGGAAGTAAACCAGGAAAAACATACAAGGGGATAACATTCAAAAGCTCCACACAG